AAAAAAAAAAAAAAAAAAAAAACCCTACCAAGAATAATCGCCTGTCCTTGGGGATTACGGCCGCCAAGCCGGCTATTGCCAAAATGAAAAGATAAGTGTCCAGCGTTGTGGATTTCTCCGGTTGGCTCGTAGGATCACCTCGGGGCATCACTGTAGTAATGTAATTATGTCTGGAATCTCTCACCGAGGAGCCAACCCTCACCCTAATTCAGAATAATAACAGGAAAGCGACCACATCTGGAGAAAGCAGCCCTGTACTTCTGTTATTCTGTTGGTTCGTCCAAGGCCCTGCATTGAACCTACATTGCTATACCGCTACCGCTACAACAACATGGCATCAAGCATCATACTCACGTCCTCCGCGCCTTGAACTTGGCCCTTGCCCTCGCCCTCCCATTGCCACCAGCAATGACCTTCTTAGGAGCCTTGGGCTTCTTCATCTTGTTCAGCTCCAACACCGCCCCCTTGCCGTCCCGCTCCGCCCGGCCCTTCTTCCACGTCGGGCCCTCGCTCCGCTGCGTCTTCGCGTCCAGCTTCTTCTTATCCTTGTTGCTCAGCTTCCCCTTCTTCATCTTGATCTTCTCCTTGTCCCCGTTGAGCTCCTCCCGCCCCGCCAACTTGGCCTTCTGCTTATCCTTCTCCGTCTCGAACCACGTCCGCCGCGGCCGCGCCTTGATCTCGTCCTCGTGCTCGATCAGGTTCTCGCCCTTGCGCACCTGCATCTCCGCCTGCGCGAGCTGCCGCTCCTCCTTCTCCTCCAGCATGATCTCCTCAATCTCGTCCTCCATCTCGTCCACTTTCTCCTGCCACGCGTCCGCCTCGCCCGGGTCGACGATCCGGCTCATGATCTTCGCGCCTTGCGCCTTGCCCGCCTTGACCGCCGCCTTGACCACTTTGCGGTCGGGTTCCGCCGCGAGCGTCACGGCCGTGCCGCTGCGTCCTGCACGGGCTGTGCGGCCGACTCGGTGGACGTAGATTTCGTGGTTTTGCGGCGCCTCGTAGTTGATGACCGTGTCGACGCCCTTGATGTCGAGACCACGGGAAGCGAGATCGGTGGCTAGGAGGTAGGAGACCTTGCCGTCTCGGAATTGTTCCACGCTGGATATTCTCTGCCGCACCGCGTTAGCTGCCGTTGAAAAGGAGAAAGGGTGAATACACCGGAACGGAACGCACCTGAGTTTGGTTCATGCTTCCGTGAAGCTCTGCGCAGGACATCCCCAGCAACCCAAAGATGATGCGCGCGCGATGGGCCTCCTTCTTTTGCCGGAAAAAAATAATAACGCGCTCCGTGTGCAGCGTCTTGCAGATGAAGAGCAGGTAGCCCATCCGCTTGTCCTCCCTCCCGGGCCGCAGCCGCACAAACTCCTGCGTCAGCGTCACCACCGTCTTCTTCCCCGAGTCCACCATGATGCGCGCCGGCGTCCTCATGCCCAGGCGGATGAGCCGGTCGACCGAGGACGTCATGGTGGCCGAGAAGAGCATCGTCTGGCGCGACTTGGGCAGCGTGGTCAGGATCTCGTTCAGCTCGTCCGCGAACCCGTCCTCCAGCATGCGGTCCGCCTCGTCGAGCACCAGGATCTCCACCGCGTCGACCGCGAAGCTGGCCGAGTTGCGCATGTGGTCGATGAACCGGCCGGGCGTGGCGATGATCACGTCCGGCCGCAGCCGCAGCTCCGCCTCCTGCACCTTGAGGCTCAGGCCGCCGACCGCGAGCGTGAACTTGATGTCCGTGTAGGCCGCCAGCTTGGTGGCGACGGAGTGGCACTGGATCGCCAGCTCGCGCGTCGGCGTCAGGACGACGACGCGGCTCGTCGGCACCTTCTTCGGCCTGTATAGCAGCCGCTCGAGGATGGGGACCACAAAGGCCGCCGTCTTGCCGGAACCCGTCACGGCGCCGCCCACGACGTCCTTGCCCATCAGCGCGACGGGGATCGTCTTGGCTTGGATCGGGGTGGGTTTGGAGAAGCCGACGCTGGTCAGACCCCTGAGGATGGGTCGTGAGAGCGACATGGTCTGGAAGGACGATTTCTCGTTCTTCTTTCCTGCTTTGGCAGGCTCCTCGGGCGCGAAGAAAGCGTCTCGTTTCGCTTTTTCCTCGGGGTCTTCTTCCTCGTCGCTGTCGCCTGACGCCATGTCATCGGGGTGTTGCACGGGCGTGGCGACTGAATCGTCGTCCGACGCAGCATCTTCGTCTTCGTCTTCGTCTTCGTCCGCCGAACCGTCATCTTCTTCTCCCCCCGACTCTTCTGCGTCCGAGTCGACGCCCATGCCGAAAGCATCGTCTGCGAGCACCCCATCTTCGGCATCGTCGAGGTCGACGTCCATGTCGTTCTCGACTTCGCTTTCTTCCGTCTTTGCCGATTCCTTGGTGGCATTCTCGGTCCCATCGCCTTCCTGCCTCTTCTCTCTCCTCCTCCGAATGATCTCATCCAGGTCTACGCCCTTCTTATCCGCGTTCATGCCCTTCTTGGCCCCATCGAAACCCCAGCCCGCAAACTCTTCTTCGCGTAGCTCGTGGGCTCCATCCTCAATGAACTCGAAACCCGAGGCCATGGCCCCGTCGTCCTCGTCCTTCTCACCCCATATACTCTCGGGGGGTGCCTCTTCCTCGACAGCGTCGTTCTTGTTTCGTTTCCCTTTCGCACCCTTGGCTTTCGTGGAGGTTTTGGCCTTCTTCTTGGGCGGCGGGGCAGCGGGGGTTTCTTCTTCGGATAGTTCGCCTTCGTGGTCGGAAATGGTAAAAACGAAGTCCTCGTCGACCGGTTTCCTCTTCTGGGCGGGCGCCATTTTGTGAGGGGTGCACTTAATGGTGTCTTTGTGCAGGGGGGGGGGGCGATACAGCAAGACTATCGTGTCGTCTACCACAAGCTCCTCCCAGTGAACTTGCACCAGAAATTTTCTACGGAATTGGGGACTATCTTTTTTTCTGCCGTGTTTTGGTTAGGCGGTGGGTGTCGTCTAAATTTCGGCCAAACCTGCCGGACTTTTATAGATTAAGTATCTCCGTACCTCATGTACCTTTTAGTTCTCTTTGTCAAGACTCAACACGTGAACACATGTCATCTCCACGCGTTGTGCAGGTCGTCTTCAGAGGTCCAACACGTAGATTTCTCCGTACAGATATCTGCGCCTTAATCCTAACCTTGAATGAATCAATGATTACAACGCTAGGTTTGGCTTCATTTTCCATCTCATCACGCCCCAAACTATGATGTGCACCTAGCACCGTCCCTCCCGCCTCACCTGTATCCTTGCCGCAGTGCACAGTGCGTCCTGTTTTGCAACTGCGACCTTCGATTTCAACAGAGGCAAGAATGAGGAGGCCCTTGACGTACGATAAGAACGAGTTTGTGACCGGAGGAGGATACCCGATGGACCAACCCCCTACCGCGCTATTCAGTTGTTCGCATCTCTGCCGTCCTAGACTTCGAGTTCGCAGATAGCATGCCAGGGCAGTTCACGTACGATCCGCTCTGGTGGTTGCTTTGCTACTGCGAGGGCCCGAGGTCTGGCTTGATCGAAATAGTTAGCATGGAGGTGAGTTCTTAGCACGGTAGGTTCCCAGGATGGAGCCGTTCCTGCGAGCGCTGGAGCGAGCTGCCGTACAGACGGTACTTGAACCGTTAGTGCAGATGAAGATGGCGCAACGCGAGGCTTACGAAAAAAAAGTATGCTTCTCGGTTTCCCGGGGCGTCGTCAGGTTGACAGATTGTACGTTTGTTTATATTCTCCGTAATTAGCTTGATGGGCGACCCTGTAACGGGCTGACCCGATTAGATCAAGCGGCAGCACTTAGTTGGAGGAATGGGCTCCCGATTAGGTAATTACTGAGAATCGAACAGGCCGGCACTGCGCCACGGCCGGTGCGAGGGAGCCACAAACAGTGGGTTACAGTTGACCAATAAAAACACTCCCTTTCGAGGACCTTTCCTATCATGTAAGCAAGCCAGCAAGTACGCAGAAGTACTTGGTACACCGCAGAACCTCCCCCTCTAACCCCCACCACCGGTTGATTGGGCGACGGTCTGATTGCCAATAATTTTGGTTGCCTTCCATCTTGCTCTCCATCGCAGTTGTCATATCGAGGACACGAGAATCGTTCTCTTCCCTCCACATACCTGTTCGTCGTCACCTCCTTCATCCAACCGTCGCATTTTGGGGCTGCGCCTGCATCGTTTTGCTCGTCAGTTTTCTCATTCCTCTCTGATTTGCTAGCTCCCCCTTCATCGACGTCCCTACAAGTATCATCCCGCATTCCGCCATATAGTCAAGATGGGTGAATCTAGGTGAGTTCCTTGCTCTGCGTACATGGGGAAAGCTAGCGGGATGTTTTGGATCTCTCGAACGAATGCAGCGAATGCAGCTAACGGTTGTCTCGCCGCGCTTCAGGCAGGAACTCATCACCTGGCTCAACAGCCTGCTCCAGCTAAACATCACCAAGGTCGAGCAATGCGGTACTGGGTAAGCACGTCCCTACACGTCCCTATCCCCCTTTTCCAGCCGTCCATTTGTTCATTTGTGTCGTGTCTTTTTGTCCTGTATATTTTCGATGGGTGGCTGACCGCATCTTCTCCTCCAGTGCGGCGTTATGCCAGGTCTTTGATAGCATCTTCATGGACATTCCCATGCACCGAGTCAAGTTTAACGTCAACTCGGAATATGCATACATCCAGAATTTCAAAATACTGCAGAGTAAGATGGGATCCGTACAATACTCCCCCTACGGAGGCTTTTCTTTCCGAAACAAAACGTCTGACCCCGATGGTTTCCCTCCCCCCCTGTATAGATGCCTTCGCGAAGCACCAGATCGACAAGCCCATACCCGTGACCGCGCTCGTCAAGTGCAAGATGCAGGACAACCTCGAGTTCCTGCAGTGGACCAAGAAGTTCTGGGACCTCAACTTCCCGGACCACGAATACGACGCCGTCGCGCGGCGGAAGGGCGGCGCGCTGCCCTCGGGCGCCCCGGCCCCCGTCCGCGCGGGAGCGGGCAGTGCCGGCGCCGCCCGACGAGGCGGGGTGACCCCGACAACGGGACCGCGCGTGGCCAAGGCGGCCGGACCGGCGACCGCGGCGCTACAGCAGGAGAACGCGAAGCTGGGGGAGACGATCGTGGGGCTGGAGCGGGAGCGCGACTTTTATTTCAGCAAACTCCGCGACATCGAGCTGCTCGTCCAGCAGGCTGTCGAGGAGGACCCGGAGCTGGAGAAGCAGGAGGATGGGCTCGTCAAGCAGATCCAGGCCATTCTATATTCCACCGAGGAGGGCTTCGAGATCCCGGCTGAGGACCAGCTGGACGAGGAGGAGACTTTTTAAGGGTTGGTGTCTGTGCATCTCGATTCCACCAGTGACGCGAGAGAGAGAGAGAGAAAAAAAGAGAAATGCATCATGCATTGGGTGTTTCTAGGGCGTGAAAACGCGCTGATACGGAGCAAGGCGTAGAAAGAACACAACACAGGAGAAACGAGAAACGAGAAACCCGTGAGACGGCGGGAAAGGGCGGGATGTAGTGGCAGGTATAATTACCCGAGGGTTAATAAGTCAATACGCCCTCTGACGAATATTCATGATAGAGAAATACCACTCGACTTGCGCGTCCACTTTATTGTAGAATCTACGACTTGTGAACGAAGTGTTGATGATGGGAGAGCTCAGCATCGTAGTTCTATAGTCCTGTTCTTTGCCCAAAGGTACATTGAATGTGTCCCTACCTAAGGTATCCGCTTATCAGACACATCGCTCGCGGCGCCATCTTCGGATTTGTTGTACACGTGTACCTTAGTAAGAAGAGCATGGTGACATGAGGGGCAACTGAACAAACGCATCTGTGCTGTCAGTTCAAGAGCATTCGTTTCGAATCCGCAAATGTGCCTGAGCTTACGGTAAGGTGGTCGGGGTCATAATAATCAAGTCGATAAGGTAGACAGAAGAAGTGCGTACTCGGTACGACTGCTGCGAGATGTTCAGCGAATACTATACCTCCGACGGTATACATTTTCAGTTCCAATTTAGGTACCAATACTCAAAGCATCAGGTTGTCGTATGTATCTCCTCGGTATCCCCCCATTCATTGTTCTACCGGTACCTCAGTCCAGGCCATCAACCCCCCCTTGCTGCAGGTCCCGACCTTGGGGAGGATCCACTGTGCCTTGCTGACTTGTGGGGAACTATAGTGGCTGGCGTCTTAAGTATTTCATAATTACCAGGCAGGAACCGGAACCATCTACAACGTACAACACCAGGTCGCCTGACATCAAATCCATCATCGTCCATTCGACACCCGCATCACGTTCCAACATCATCCTGCCATAGAAACACTACTAGCGGAAAGACCAAGAGCTCTTTTACTCGAACTTTTGCAAACAATAGGCATTGCAAGTCCGAAAGGCCAGTTTTGGAGAGCAGCCGAGGCAACAACCTGCTAGCCATCACATCACGTTGGGCTCTAACGAGCTTCGGGTCGAGAGGGACCGGCATCTACAAGGAGCAACACGTACAAAAGGGAACAGAAGGGCACGTCCATCTTGCATATCATGGCGCCTCCCGCCGAAATCTCCATACCATCCACCATCCTATCCACGGGGGAATCGAAACCCTACACACTTTATAACATCGCCCTCCGTCTTCCCCTCCGGTCCTTTGTCGTCCAGAAGCGCTACTCCGACTTCACAGCCCTCCACAACGCCCTAACATCCCATGTCGGCTCCCCGCCCCCCGCACCGCTCCCCGCGAAATCCTGGTTCAAGTCCACCGTCTCGAACCCAGACCTGACCGAATCCCGCCGCCGCGGGCTCGAAACCTACCTCCGCGCCATAGCCGAGTCGCCCGACCGCCGCTGGCGCGACGTCCCCGCCTGGCGCGCCTTCCTCAACCTCCCCGCCGGCGGCTCCGGCGGCTCGACGTCCAACTCGGCCGTCTCGGCCCCCGGGCTCTCCGCCACAGCCACCACGACCTCCACGACCATCAGCGCCCGCGGCGGTTCCGCCGGCGCCTCGTCCTCGTCCTCCGATCCGGCCACATGGCTCGACCTCCACCGCGAGATGAAGGGCTGCTTACACGACGCGAGGCTGGCGCTGGCCCGCCGCGACGCGGCGGCAGAGTCGAGTAACGGTGCTGCGGCAGCCGAAGCCGGTGCTGCTGCCAAGAGGGCGCTCGTCAGGGCGGGGGCCCTGCTCGGGACGCTCGGGGACGGGTTGCGGGCTATACAGGAGGGGTCGCGGTTGGGGGAGGGCGAGGTGAGGCGGCGGCGGGATCTGCTTGCGAGCGGCCGCGTCGAGAAGGAAGGGCTGGAGAGGTTGAGTAATAGCCTGGCGGCGTCGGCGTCGGCGCAGGCGGGGAACGTGGGGCAGGGGGCGGGCGGGGGGCGGGAGGGGTGGGCTTCTGGCACGGACAAGGCGGCTCTCTTGGGCGGCAGATCGGGGGCGAGGACGGGGGGCAGGGTGCTGGGTGTGCCGTTGGCGGAGTCGGGGCACACGCGGGAGCTGGACAACGAAGGGGTGGTGCAGCTGCAGCGGCGGATGATGGGCGAGCAGGACGAGCAGGTCGATGTGCTGGCTGCGATTGTGCGGCGGCAGAAGGAGATGGGGGTGCGGATCAATGAGGAGATTGAGACGCAGACGGAGATGCTGGACCGGCTGAACGAGGACACCGATCGGGTGGGCGGCAAGTTGGGCGTGGCGAAAAACCGGATTAAGAAGCTTTGACGGGGGTGCATGAGGACGGGGGCAGGGGCGGGGGCGAGTGCTTTGTTCACGTTCGTGGTCTTCCCGGGCGTGCTCACGGCGATGGAGGGCATTGTTTGGCTGCGTTGGGTGGCCGGTCGGGCTACTGACGCGGTTGCGCGGTGTTTGGAGTTGGTCTTTGTGCTTTCCACTGTGATTTCTGGGGCATCATGACAGCCGGCATGGTCACTACAACCTCCTTTTTTTTCCCAACGTTCATTTTGAATACATAGGACGCCTGCCTACATACGATATCTAGTTCTTTATACTTTTCGGTAGAACTATCCACTCAAGGAGTGGAAGCAGAGCAAGGGTAGTGAGAAGACGGAATATATATCCAGCCATATCTTCGGGTTACAGCGGATTGCCTTTAGTATTGGGAGCTTCTCGGCCCACCGTCAATGGGCCGTTGAAACGATGGAGTGCAATGAGCATCGAGTTGATTCAAGCTTCGGACACTGTCTCGGCTTGTTCTTGGATTGTCATGGGGGGGTTGCCTTGTTTCCAAGCCAGAAGTTGGAAGAAAAAGCAGCATTATGCCAAATCAATGTCTACGGGGTTTATAGGCATTGCATTCATCGACAATCTACGAAGTAGGGATGGCAGTACGGTACGATGCCGGTGAGGGCTGCCCACACGTGCGACTTTGAGGTTCCAAACGGTCACCAGAGCCGGGTAATGCCGGGATCCGGACAGCTGCAGGCGGCTGCAAACTATCTCCCCTGCCACGCCAATACCGAAAACCGAAGGTGTGGCGCTGCGTCACTGCCTAATTCGTTAGCGTCCTGTAAGGGTACCTTAGCGTGGCGGGTTGAAAAGGGACGTCCCGCGGTCGGTTGCCGGGCAACGGGGAGGCTGGGTGAGACCCTTTTTCGGACTTGGGGTGAACCGAACCGTTCGAGTTGGCAAAGCTTCTTTCCCCAGGAGATTGGTAGCACAACATCTGTCGAGCCATCTGTCAACGCTCAAGAGTCCCACAAGCCGGGGAATTGCTTTGCGAACTACCCTTCGTCATTGACTGTTTCACGGCCGATTTATGACGTCTCCTCGTGAAGCGGTGGCAGGAAGATCAGAAAGGAAAAGCAGGTGGCTGGACAGGACAGGCAGCCATAAGACGATGGGGGGTCCGATTTCGTCCACTCACACCGCTCTTCGCCTCTTCCCCCCCCCGTTCGCGGGGTTTGCGGAATGACTTGTTGGCCGCTCACGATTCGCTGGATTGGCGGGATAACGTGTTGATGGGGGGTGATCGTGGACTTTCCCTCGCGCCATATTGGACGAGTGATGGGGGGGGATGGCTATTACATCTTGCACTGGGCGCTGCGCCAAGGACTGGGTCGGCTCAGGTGATTCGCAACGATCGCATAAGAAATAAACAACACGAACTGGTTGTTTTGATCGTCGATTGAGGGCAACACGATGTCCCAAATTCAAGGGATTGATTGGAACGTTCCAATGGCTTCGTGGAAGTGGAAGGCCATGCTCAGGGACCGAGCAAAGGAGGCCACCCAAAGTACTGACTACCTGACGCTTTGAGCAGAGTCGGGGCTGATAAGCGTAATTAAGGTACCTTATTAGTTGCATGGCCATGTGTCTCGCATGGATCATTCATTGACAAGGACAGAGGCGATGCATTCAGATTTCCTCCCATCCCAACCGCACTGATATGCTACTTCGTATATTTACTCTGTCGGACACCGTTGGGACTATCCTGAGCTTCTTTACCAGGCAGCAAAAAGTTGGGATAGAGAGGAGAGGATAAAGACAAATGATGAATCGTAAAGGTATTCGGTACCTCAGTACGGAGTACGCACCAGGCTTCAGGGCCCACCGAATCTACCTTAGGGTACCTTACCCACCAGGTTGCTGGAAAAGGTCACGGCGGTTACAGTTACATCACCAAAGTATTCCAAAGTAAACAATGCAGTAGCCTGCGACTGCCCCCCCAAAGACCCCGAACCCTCATCTCGTTCCTCCCCCACGGGAAGGAGGAAACAAAAAAAGAAAGAAAAAATGGAAATGGAAATTCTTCAACGACCTCATCCCGGACCTCTCTCCCAGTTCAATACTTCGCCTCCTCTTCCCACTTCTGAACGCAACAGGATACCCACAGACCAAGCAAATTGTCTGCCTACCCCTTACTAACCAACAGCGACCTTCCTTTCATATTTGATTTTGCTCATCGCATCTATTCTTCCGACTTTCCATCCGACTTTCCATCCGACGTCCCATCCGACTCCCCCTCAGATTTCAGACAGTCCGGACAGAGGCCCCTCTCATGCATGCCAGCATTCGTTGACTTGGTTCTTGCATTGCTTCTTTCTATCCCCGTCTTGCATTGGCATCTGGAGCCCGGCGTTGTTTGCTTTGTGCCTTGTGCTGTGAGTTTCTTCCTCCCCCGAGGTCAAACAAACAGAGAGGCCACCGTCTCTTCCCTTTGATCCTATTTGATCCCGTCATTCTCTGAGCGGCCATCTTGTCCTGTACGACGCCAAGCTTTGGTGGGACTAATTTTTGACCATCTTCAGGCTTTGGCTTCACCATTTTACGAACCTCCCAATGGCCACTTTGAGATACCACCTACGTTGCCTGCCTCTTTTTTGATCGACGTGCCGACTACGCTACCGCCTTGATTTTCTCTGTGCCCTGTCCAGCCAACTGACCCTGCTTCGTTCGACCTTTGGGGGGTTCCTCGGCCACCGCGCCTCCCCATTGCTATCCGCAACGACGGTGGATCACCCGGAACGGCTTCTGCCGCCTGCCGACGCATCGACAAGAACAAGCCCGTCATGAACGATCAACCACCGCCTCCCCCGCCGCACGGGGCGAACCCCAAAACCACCAGCGGCGGTCTGGGACCGGGCCACTACGACATCTTCGTCATCCCCCAGCGCGACAAAGGCGGTGGCTTCATTTACCTCCCCGCCATGACCGCCAACGGCCCTTCCTTCGCCGCCGGTTTCGCCTCCGCCCTGGCCCTCGTCGTCATATGCCAGAGCATGGCGCCGGCCTTCCAAGTCTGGTGGCAGAACTTCCAGGGCATGGGGAACATGGGCATGGGTCTCCTCGTGCTTGCCGTCGGCGTCGGAGCTTGGGCCTGGGGGAAGTCCCAAAGCCAGGGCGCCGCCGCTTCGTCTTCGTCCTCGTCCTCGTCTTCATCGCATCATCATTCTTCTTCCGCAGGCGGCGGTCCTGCCGCCGGAGGAGGTGGTGGTGGTCCTCCCCCGCATTTCCATGCCGGCGCTGCCCCGAACGCTGGCGGCGGCCCTCCTCCCCCCCAACCGCCGCCGCCGCCGCCGCCGCACAACGACCCTCCTCCGTACAACTCGCACGCGGGCCACGAGCAACCAAAGTCCTCCTGGCAAGCTCCGCCCCCTCAACCGGGCACGTCCCGACCCGCCGACCCGCCACCACCTGCTGACCCTCCGCCGACTCCAGACCCTCCTCCGACTCCTGATCCTCCACCGGCCCCTGGCCCCCCACCGAAAAGGGCGGCCACGCCACCACCACCGCCACCACCACCGAAACCGGCCACCCCGCCGCCGCCTAAGAATTCGTGGGAAAAGGCCCGCGAGGAAACAAGGAGGAAGGAAGAGGAGCGCAGGAAGAGGGAGGAGGAGCGGAAGAAGAAGGAGGAAGAAGAAAGGCGCAGGGCAGAGACGGCGCGGCGGGTACGAGAGTTCCGTGAAAGAGAGGCCCGTGAACGCGAAAGGCGAGAGCGGGAAGCGCGCGAGAAGGAGGAGCTCAAGCAGAAACTCGAGCACGAGAGGGCCGAGCGGGAGCGGCTGGAGAGGGAAAAGGCCGAGAGGGAGGCCAGGGAACGGGAGGAGCAGCGGAGGAGAGAGTTGGAAGAAGTACGAAGGAAGGAGGCCGAGGAGAGGCAGAGGAGAGACGAGGAGAGACGAAGGAAACTGGAGGAGGAGGAGACGCGTCGAAAAGAGGAGGAAGAGAAGGAGAAAAGGGAAGAAGAGGAGAGGAAACGAAAAGAGGCAGAAGAAGGCGAGAGAAAGAAGAAGGAAGCGGAAGAGGCGGCGCGAACAACCCGTCAGTCAAGCACGTATGCTTACTCGAGGGTTGGCGAGAGGACCAATCCGTGGCCGAACGGCAAGCCCAAACCCAGACCGAACCCAGCACCACCACCGAGCGAGTCGCCTTCTTCAACCCCGCGACCTGCACCTTCGACAACATCCACGTCCCGGCCTCCGCCTTCGACAACGTCCACTTCCCGGCCCCCGCCTTCGACAACATCCAGTCGTGCCAGGCAGCCGCCAGCCGCGTCGGCGTCGGCGTCGGCGTCAGGCAAAACGCATCTCGACCCGGAAGACGAAAGCTATTCGTACCGGCCGTACGACAAACCGCGGTCGCACACTCACAGGAGAGCCCCCTCCTCGGTCGGATCCGAGTCGTCCTGGGCGCCGTCGGCCACGACAACGCACACGTCGCCGCCGCCTAGCATGCGCGGACCGTACACGACCAAGGACCCCGACAAGATCGTCATTAAGGGGGTCTACCTCTTCATGAACCAGTTCGCCAAGACGCCAGCCAGCAACCTGCTCGCGGGGATCGGTACGGTAACGGACGGGCTGATCCTGCGCATCACGACCGAAGGGCTCTTCATCGACGACGACGTCCGCGGCGTCCCGCAGCGCGAATGGGACGTCAAGGCCTGGACCCTCAAGCTGGTCGAGGTATGGTGCCCGCTCCACTGCATCACCGCCGCCTCGGCCGCCTCGTCCCCGGCCGCCGCCGCCGCCGCCGCCGCGGCGAACCACCCCAGCTTTTTGTTCCGCATGGCGGCCTCCCAGCGGTTCCGCGCCGCGGACAGGGGCGTCGTCAAGCCGCTCACGGGCGACGACGCGGACGCGTACCTGGCCGAGGTGCTGCAGCACTGCCGCGAGACGTGCCGCTTGGGGCTCTGCGACGGCAAGTTGCGGAGCGCGAACGTGCCGTCGTCGGCTGGACACACGGGGGAGTGGAGGGCGCGCGGGCTCCACGTGCTCCGCGCCACGGTGCGCGACCAGGAGGGGAAGCGGTACCTCTTCGTCGTGGATGAGGAGGAGGCGTGGAAGATGGCGGTGGGGTTGCAGAGGTTGCGGCGGGGCACGCAGGTCCGGGCGCTGGGCGTCAGCGGGATGCCTGCTTCGGAGGCGCGCAATTCTCTCGAGACGCTGGGGTGGACGGCTTGAATGAAGAAGCCCGGGGAGAACGACGGCGGCGGGGTTTGGTTTATATCACGCTGCCCTGGTGTGCAGCTCAATATTTGCGAAGCCTATGTTGCGATTCTTCTTTTTCTTTTTCTTTGCCTCTCCTTTTTTTTTTCCCCCGATTCGGTGCATTTCTTGTCGACAAGACAAATCTTGGGTGACCGTCCTCGATTGTCAGTACATAAAAGTCAGGCAAGGTTACAGAGGATGATGGAGTCGAGTGACTGCAGAGATGTGGCGGGTGGATGCACAGAGCGGAAGGTGAAGCAGTGTGGGCGGCCGAGGGGAACGAGGTGCAAGGGGCAGGTCGCTACTGTTTACGAACAAGGGAACAGCGTCGTGCAGAGGGAGCTATATATCTCGGAAGACCCCTGGAGTCTTTGAAATACCGAGAGTGGGAGGCCATGACAACAGGACAATATTGGATTGGAATGTGAGCAGATTTGTTGCATAGCAGAGCGTGCATGTGGAATGCATTTGGAGCTCTTGGGTCGGGCCAGGATGGCAACGGCTACAGAGTCATTTGGCACCGCTATGAGTGTTATAAGCTCTTTTAATTGATCAAACTTTGATAACGTCTGTTGCGAGTTGATGCGGTGATGGAGTCGAGGAAGTTCTGGGCACCTCCTTTTTTTTTTTTTTTTTTTTTTTCCCTCCTCACAACCTCACATCCTCTTCCCCTGTAGGCATTGCGAACGGCAAAGAAAAGAAAATTCCCATCCTCCACTGCATAACCGTATGTTTGGTGTCCGTCAACGTCAACCTCGGGGCCGAGGCGAGGCATCCCGGGAATACAATAACCATACTCCGTATATCCATGTCTTGCCCGTGGCTTGCTCGAACTGAACAGGGCTTGATCTCATGTGCTCAATGTAAATTCATTACCTACCTTGGCTAGAAGTATTCTTATCTGCTTTGGCGAGTAATACGGCTTGAAGGAGATGCGTTACTAGAGTCTGATAATGTTGGTAATAGTCAGTACCTTCCTTAATTATACAATAGCTATCTCCTCGGGGTTTGCGCAGTTTAAAGCGTTCTTATCAGTGTATAATTTCCTTGTTGTGTTGGGTGTCAGCACGGATAAGACGTGTCCAGGGGTCTTACACAGCATTCTACCGCCATGTACTCGTTACTCTCATGTTCGCTTAACCTCGGGTCCTCGGGTCCTCTGAGCCAGAGATTCGGGATATAGCTTAATAAGGTAGAAATCAATAGTTAATACCTAAGGTACCTTTAGTTCACCAGGCCTTATCTCGAGCACTTCTCGGCGCCGAAGACGGGTACGGGTACGGGTAAAGCCGTCCGCTTATCTGGAAATACTACGTACTTTGTACCGCAGTACCTTGAGTACCTTATGTAAGGTACCTTACTCAGGTACAGTTTCCATATCCCCGCCATGAGCAGCTTATTCGAGATAACGCTTTTTTCTTCTATTTTTTTTCTCTCAGCCCCTGGCTAGTCCGTAGTTGGACAAGCCAAGGGACGAGAATAGGCTCAAGTTTCTGCTCGGTTTAACGGCCTTCTTCCGGGTCCGGTCTACTCTGTACCTTACGGTACGGGGTACTCTGCCTTAAGGTACTGAGGTATTGTAAGGTACCTTAGGTACCTTACCTTACTCGGTACCTTAGTCTTATCTCTTCGGTGTATCTTCACCCGGTCGGATCCGTAAACCACCACCGAGACCGAGGCTCGTTCACCGACCAGGGACAGGGACAGGGGCAGGGACCTTTGCATCTACACGTGTAGACAGCGACAACAACCCAGGACGCTAGAACCAAAAGGCTTCGCCCAAATCCTTGACTTATTGGTACCGTATTATGTGCATAATTACGGCTCCCACCAAAACCCACTGATAAGCATCTCCATCCTTCCTGGCATCCAATCACCATGGACAAAGGACCATGGCCCATGGCCCATGGGGATATCGTGAGATGGCCCCCAACTAGCCGGGGTCTTTCGAGGCTCCTCTAGGATTTCGAAGACGGGGGACCAGGAGTTAGCTCCTTCGGAGGCATGTCTTCACTCGAGAATTCGGGTCCTTGCTTTGACCCCTCTCCTTGGCGATGATAAAATGTCCGGGGTATAAAGAGAGGTCTGCTGCTGCCATGACAGTCGAAATGACCGACGAGAAGTGTTACCGACGCAACGCCTGACGACCCTGCTGCAAGCCCGCATCCACCATGAAGACAAGCGGCCTACCTCTCTTCGCCTTCGGGCTCTACGTCTCCACGGCGACCGCCCAGATCGTCCAGACGGGTGCTTCCCTCAAGCTGGGAGACATCTACTACTACGTCTCCCCCTTCTCCCAGGGCAAGATCGTCGACGGGCCCCTCGACATCAAGTCGCTGCCCCGCGCCTTCGGCTTCACCCCCATCACCGTCGTGTCCGACGATGGCGTCGACAAGGAAGCCCTCCCCTCCCTCTTCGGCAACTGGACCTCGGCCGACGACGTCTGGCAGCCCTCCTTCCTCTCCACCGTCTTCCTCGCCGGCCACGCCGCCTCGCCGTGCCTGAGCAAGCAGTCCTTCTACGAGGACGTCCGCTCCCTCGTCCTGCCCTTCGAGGGCAACAGCACCGCCCTCCCCTCGGGCCCGTACTTCCTCGACACCGCCTCGGGCGACGTCTACCAGGCCTACCGCCTCTACGACGACTCCATCGGCTCCTTCACCGAATCCCTCCTCCAGAGCCCCGACGCCAGCTCTTTCCAGCCCCTGTCGGCCCACATCCCCTCCTCGGCCTCCGTGACCATCGGCGTCCCCTCGCGCCTCTACTACAGCCCCACCCCGGAGAAGCCCCTCGCCGGCGTGCGCATCGGCATCAAGGACATCTACGACCTCGCCGGCATGCGCAAGTCCAACGGCAACCGCGCCTGGTGGAACCTCTACCCGCCCGCCGCCACCACCGCCCCCGTCGTCCAGCGCCTCCTCGACGCCGGCGCCATCGTCGTCGGCCACCAAAAGACCTCGCAGTTCGCCAACGGCGAGTCCCCCACCGCCGACTGGGTCGACTACCACGCCCCCTTCAACCCGCGCGGCGACGGCTACAACAACCCTTCCTCCTCGTCCGCCGGCGCCGGCGCCTCCGTCGGCGCCTACCCCTGGCTCGACATCGCCCTCGGCTCCGACACGGGCGGTTCCGTCCGCGGACCCGCCGGCGCCCAGGGCCTCTTCGGCAACCGCCCCTCCCACGGCCTCGTCTCCCTCGACGGCGTCATGCCCCTCTCCCCGACCCTCGACACGCCCGGCTTCCTCGTCCGCGACCCCTGGACCTGGGACGCCGCCAACAAGGCCATGTACGGCGCCAACTACACCTCGTACGCCGGCTCCTCCTCCGTCGCCTACCCGTCCAAGCTGTACACCGTGGGCCTCCCCGCCGCGTCCTCCGACGCCGGCAAGATGATCCACGACTTCGCCAACGCCCTGGCCGCCTTCCTGGGCACCGAACACTCCGTCTTCAACCTCGACTCCGCCTGGGCCGCCACCGGCCCCGCCGAACTGCGCTCCACCCGCCTCTCCACCCTCCTGAGCTCGACCTACGCCACCCTGATCACCAAGGAACAGATCGAGCTCGTCCGGGAGCCCTTCTTCGCCGACTACGCCGCCGCCCACGACGGCCGCCGCCCCTTCGTCAACCCGGTGCCCCTCTCGCGCTGGGCCTGGGGCGACTCGATCCCGGACGCATGGTACCCGGAAGCCCTGCACAACAAGACCGTCTTCATGGACTGGTTCAACGCCGAGGTCCTCCCCGCTTCGTCGTCGTCCGCCTCGTGCTCCGACTCCATCCTCATCTACCCGGGCAGCACCGGCAACCCGTCCCCGCGGAACCGCTACAGCGCCAGCGCCCCCGGCGCGCCGCTTGGTTTCGGCACCTCGCGCATCTCCGTCTTCGCCGAGGTCCCGGACAGCGTCTTCCCCCTCGGCGAGGTGGCGAGGCCCAGTACCATCACGGGGCGGGACGAGTTCCTGCCTGTTGCCGTCAATGTGCTCGTCGCCAAGGGATGTGATGGCCTGCTTGTCAAGCTGGCGCAGGATCTCGTCCGGGAGGGCGTCCTGACTGTTCCCAAGGCCGGTGGTACCATGGCGGGGGGTGACTTGCTGGTCAGGAGGGACATGGACCATGATTACCTTGCCGATATGGAGTGGATGTGATCATGTAAATATGCCTAGTTAGAAATATGTCTTCTCAGGGGGTTGGTAGGTAGAGAGACAGAGGCGACTCGCAATGTACTTACGAAGAGCGTATGTCATACTAAGACGTACGAATAATACTCTCATGTCCAGAGAATATGAAATATATTCATCCGTCTTCAAGTGGAAAAAGGTCTCAAGGGATATATCACATGCGCCTGTAGTGGGCAAACCCATCTGCCGAGAGAACCAAGGAAATAAACAGAGAGACAGGCCACAGGGCCCAAGAGAAACAGGATCGACTCTAGACACAGCCCAGTCCACTCTCCCGCCATGATACTCCTCTCCTCGTACGACACACCATGCCCACTCAACCCTGTTGTTGCCTCCGTTCCATATCATTGGCGAGGTTCATATGCATCACCGCATCCGCCAACCAATCCTCTCGCTCGTTTTCCTTCTCCCACAACTCCCAGCTCTCCCGCCCGTCGACCCCGGGCAACCTCAGCTGGGGCGGCCCTTGACCTGCCCTCGCGCCGTGCTCGGCGACACCCCCCGCCTGTTGCGTCTCCGCTCCTGCTTGCCCACCTCCGTCGAACGACTGCGGCGCATCCCTGGGAGCGAAGACCTGGTCATCCGTCGGCATTTCTGCAACGGGCGTCGGCACCATACTTTGTCTACGCTGCTGCTGTTGATGTTGATGTTGTTGTTGTTGTTGTTGGTAAGGGTACTGCTGCTGCTGCTGCTGCTGCTGCTGCTCGTACAGCGACCCCTGCCCCAAAATCTGCGGCGCCGGTTCCACATTCCTCAAGCTGGACGACCCGGCCGCCGGCACGCTCGCGCTCCGCTGACTCCCGACAGAGGCACGATGCTGGTCCGCGCTGCTGCCCGGCTCGCCTCCCAAGACCGGGGGATCCGTGTCGCGGATCGCAAACTGCGCCATGGTCCGCATCTTGCGCGTTACCCATCCTCCCAAGATCTTGCCGCGTTGCTTCTCGCCCAGTCGGGACCGAGGGAACTCGCCCTTGTTGACAAAGGCCACGATGTCGACGACGATTTGGTGCTCGTTGAGGATCGCGTTGACGATGACCGGCACCAACGACGCGAGGTACGACCTCCGCGCCACCTCGACCAGTACCACCACGAGACCTCCCGCTTGGAAGACGGCACTGCAGACGCAAACACTTTTGGTTAGCACCGAGGGACCACACAGAAAACAGAAACCAAATATACACCACACCACACCCAAACTTACCATCCATTAGGAACAATACTTCGGTGGGATCGCTCGACAGACGCCTCCATATCCATGGGGAAGTGGTTCAGCCCGTTAATCTCAAACGTCTCGCCAATGTTGCCCAGCACAAAGAGCACCTGCATGTCAACCAGCGCGCCCCCCGGCCCGATGGGCCTGCTGACGTTATGCAGGAACCCCAAATCCCCCGTGCGAACATACTTGATGCCCGGGTCGCCGTCGACCGTGCGCCCATCGAACCGCTCCGCATCAAACGCGTCCCGGGACCCGTAGAACGCCTTGACGCACGCCTCCGAGTCGACCCAGATCTCGCCGTACTCACCGTCGTGGCACAGCAGCCGGCTCTCCGGGTTGACAATCGCAATCTGCGTCGACACGGGGACCATGCCCGAGTCCTGCACCAGCAGCGCCTGGGGGTCGCCCTCCGGGTCGACGGGGATGACCAAGCCCCGCCGCAGCGCCTTGGTGTCGAGCCACAGCTCGATGGGCTCGATGCACATGTACGACCGCGACGCGATCATCGGGTTCACCACGTGCGTGTACACCGTGTTGATGGCCGTCCGGTCCAGACCCGCGGCCGCGAAGTGGAGGCGCACTTTCTGGAACACGTCCACCCGGGGACGCCCGTCCGCCGAGATCATCATGTTCCGGAGCTCGTGCAGGGTGAAGCCCTTGCCCTGCATCATGGCCATGGCGTGGTCCAGCATCTGCGGCGTGGCGTACGTGTCCTTGATCTTGTACCGCGACAGGGAGACGAACAGCGACGCCGGGCTCTGCGCGAACTCGACGGGCGACAGCAGGTAGGTCGGCGTACCGATGTAGATGCCCATCAAGCAGGAGTGGATGAACCCGAGACCCGTGGTGCTGCGAACGCAGCCGAGAACCGGCCGGGTGCTCGACATTTGGCACGTTTCCTTTTGCACCTTGCACATGCCCAGGATCGTGTCGTGGCCGAGCTGGACCGAGAGGCGGCGCTGGTCCGGCGTCCAGTACGTCCAGATGATGACCGGGTACCCCGGCTGGATCCAAGCCGGCTGCATGGTGATGCCCAGATCCCGCAGGCCGCTGTTCTGCTTTGGAGGCTTCGTCGTGTTGTAGTAGTTCGGGATGGCGATCTTGAGAATCTGCGCCGACTGCTTGACGTGGCTCGACACCGACTTGGTCTTGAGAAGATGGTCCACGTCCTGGTTCACCAAGCACGCCTTGACCGCATAGTCGCCAACGACGTGCAGGAAGGCGGGCACGTCTTCGTTGAGCCGGTTCTCGTCCAGGGGCGCCATGGGAATGACGACGACGCCCAGGTTGATACACGCGTGCACGGCGAAGACGAACTCCTCGGAATGGGTATACATGAGGATAACGTGGTCCCCCGCCCGGACCTTCACCTTGTTCTTCAAGTAGAGCGCCACGGCCGCCACCTTGGTGTCGAACTTCTTCCAGGCGATGCCCTTGCCTTCCCTGCCGCGGCCGTCAATGGTGCAGTAGGACAGTTCCTCGGGCTGCCGCGCCACGCGCCACTGGATCAGGTCGGTGATGCAGGAAAAGTTGTTCAGCGGCGTGGAGGTCCGGTCATCGATGACCACTTCTCGCCGGTCGATGCCGGAATACTGCTTGTCCGCGGGGAGGAGGATGTCCGCCCTCGACTCGGCGGCCACCTGCGACCATATTCCGCCGATGGGGTCGACGCCGATGGGAAGGTTGAGGACGGCATGCTCCACGCCGAACTTGACGTGGGCGCAGGGGATATTGCCCAAGTCGAACTCCCTCCGGCAGAGCATGTTCCCGATCTCCCTACGACCGTGCTTCACCACCCTCGGCAGCGAGTTGGGCGCCGTGATCATGACGCAGTAAAGGCGCAGATGGTGCTCCTGCATCAGCACCTCCATGCAGCGCTCGGCCAGCGACTCCAACAACGGGGCGTCGAGCTGTCTGGGCGGCTGGCCGGAGGCGAGCGGGGCCGTGGACGCCGCCGGGGACTCCAGCACGACGATGGGCAGGTGCTCGTCGTTGACAAAGACGTCAAAGGCCGAGCAGTCGTAGATCCTGGGCACGTTGCTGACGATGCTGACGACGAGGTGCTGGACGAAGAAGTAGCGGTACTCGGCGATCTCGGTCCCGTGCTCAACCCATTCGACCTTTTGTCGGATGCGATCCTCGTACAGTCCCAGCACGAAGACCTTGCCTTCGATCACCGTACCCAGCAAGCCCGTCCGCAAGAACTCGGGCTCGACGGGCGACGGCGTTGCTTCGCCCGGGTCAAACTTGTAGGACCGGGCGTGGAAGATTTGCTCGGTATGCTTGGGCAACGCCCAGAACCCTCCCGAGAGCGAGGGCGAGTCGACCCAGATCTCTCCGATGGAGTGAGGAGAGGACAACAGGCCGGTCTCCGGGTCCGCGACCGCCAACGTCGCATCGGGTATGGGGTATCCGAAGGCACCGACACGAACCGTGCCCGGCTCGTTTGCTCGTTTCCTCGCTTCGTCCCCAAGGGCAAGCACGACGACCTCGTTCGTCTTGAGCGCCTCGCGGTCCAGCAAGACCTCGCTCAGCTCGTTCTTGGCCTTCTCCTCGGTCGTGGTTGTGGCGCCGCCGAGAAGACTGCCGAAGCCGTTGGAGGGCATAGGCTTCACGTCCTCCTCCTTCTCCCTCTCCCTCTCCTTCTCCTTCTCCTTCTCCTCTTTATCGGAAGAAGCCGAATCGCGGTCGTTGCCCAGGTCCAGTTTCAGGGGGCAGCCCATCCTCTCCTCGCCGCCGAGCCAGTCCCGGACGCTCACGACCATGCCGCCGTGCTCGGGAAGGCAGAGCATGGGCGCGACGACCTCCCTCGCGCGGGGATTGCGGAGCGGCTTCAGCCACCTGTCGGCCAAGACTTCGTGAAATTGCGTATCCACGGTCAGTGTGTCGATGAGACATAGCTTGACCGTCTGGAAGTTGGGCTCCACGCCCTTCTTGTAGTTCCGGGTGGTCATGGGGTCCTGTTGGTAGTTGTAGGCGGCCTGCTTCAGGCCGGGATAGTCGGCCACCATGAGGGTGGCTTTGTATTTGGTGATGAGATGGGCGTAAAGACCGGGCACTTCGACGGCCTTGCTCTCCAACCAGACGGTGGTATGGCCTCCGTAGACGGTGAGAAGGACGCCCAATATCAGGCCGATTCCCTCCCGGGGGTCCAGGTAGGACAGGAGGATCTCGCTGCTGGCGCCTCCTCCAATCAGCCGGCCGTTCTTATCGCGCAGAGTGCGACTGAAGGTGTCCCCGGGACCGTTTCTGGGTATGGTCGAGACGATGGCGCTCAGGCAGGCCATTTGGTGCATGAGGGTCCGGTGGCTGAGGACCACGCCGCGCAGATCCCCCGTCGGAGCGCGCGAGAACTCGATATACGCGAGGTCCGGCACACTCAGCGGCGGGACGTCGTCCTTGCGCTTGGGATGGAAGCTACCAAACTCGTTCGTCTTCCACCACTCGACGCCTTTCGGCCAGTTGAGGCGCTGGGCCGAGATGTCGCGCTGGAACGCCCTGAGGTTCTGGTCGGTGGTCAAGGCGAGATGGGCCTGGGTCGACGTCAGGATCAGGTTGAGTTTCTGGTAGTCTTGCAGATCGTTGATCGGCACGGCCACGACGCCGGCAATGAAGCACCCCAAGAGGGCAATGGCAAAGTCGATCATCTCGGAATCCCGGTAGACGAGGGCCACGCGGTCTCCCCGGTAGAGCGAGCTCTTATCCCGGATGACCTGGGCGACTTTCTCGGCTCTCGAAGCGAGCTTGTCCCAGGTGATGGACGCGATCTCCTTGCCCTTGCTGTCGAGCACCCAGTAGGCCGGCATCTTAGCGGTGGTCCGTCCCCGGTGTCGCAACACTGCGGCAATGTTCTCGAACTGGGACATGGGCATGTTGGAATCGTGCGGATCGTAGATGGCGAAGGGAACCTCGCGCGGTTCGAGGGGCATCTGGCATTCGAGAAGTTCGGGAGGCGGCATGTCGTTGGCCGTCAACATGGGGGGCGCCTTGGCGACGGTGGGGGAAAAGGCTTCGCCGGTGGACTGGCGATGTTGGGGACCAGGACCAGGGCCGGGGCCATGACCGTGACCAGGACCAGGACCAGGACCAGGCCCAGGACCAGGCCCCGAGGAGCCCCAATCATCTCGGGGGGCTTGGTCGAAGGCTTGCTGCCCGGTGAAGCCGGGGAAGAAGCCGGTCGAATCCAACATGGTGCCGGACCGGCTCTCGTATTGGTGGGGATGATGATGATACTGATCTGGGTAGGCGACTGCTTGACCCGGGTAGCCGGCAGCTTGTTGGTCTGGATATGCAGCGTGTTGTTCGGGGTACGCGTCCTGAGGCGATTCCATGTAGCCCCCATGTTGTTCGGGTCTGAAAGCATAGTCACCCGACACCATGGACACGGATCGCGCCGAGTCGTCGAGGGGGGTGGTGGCGGGGCCGGTCGCGGTGGCGGAGACTGGATGGAGGAAGAGGGAATCGCGTTGTTGCAGTTGCACGGGAGGTCGGTGACCGGCAAGAGGCCCGCCTGGTCGGAGGAAGCCTACATCTGGGGATGCGTAGCCACTGCCAGAAGCAGAGGCGAAGGGAGATTGAGATCGGTGGCTTAGGTCGGTAGGACTGCTCGGATTCGAGTCTCTGCCGCCTAGGGTAGCAAGAGCGGCGGCTCTGTGGCCAACGTGGCCATCGTAGCCATCGTGACCACCGGGACTAGGGGCATCCGCAGAATGTATGCCTAATGCACCGCGGGGTCGGGTTTCGGGTTCGGCCACAGGCACATTGAGAGCATGGGAAGCGAGATACTGACTGAGCAGTTGTGTTCTGCGTTTGTAGTGGCTGGAAGCGACAAAAGAGTCAGCAGTCGGTCGAGTGAAAATGGGGAGAGTGACTTTGGGTGCATGAGGAGCGCTCACCCTTTCTCTGTGATGTCCCCCTCCTATAATCAACCCAAGTCAGCTGCAGACCTTCAGCCCTTCAGCTTGCATTATGGAGGATGTAATGTAAGAATGCAAATGTAGCGGAGGGCAAGACAGTGAGAATGACATACCTCCAACTCTTTTTGGAGCTCATCCAGCCTCTGTTGTAGTTCGGGCGGTAGGTCTGCTGCCATGGCTGCTATCGGCGACTGGTAGATGGAAGACGGTCAAAGACGGGTCGAATAAGAAGGGCCGGGGTGATGTGTAAGTGCACAGAGGAGTATGAGTCGGCAGTCGAACAGGGAGAAAGACGACGATCCATGGAGGAGTCAAGTCGGTGTTGGGAAGCACTGGAAGGCCCGAAGCCGCGTCCTGGGACCAACAAACCCAATAATCCCAAATCCAATCAGTGCTACCCGGTAGAGACTAACCCAGAGCGTCAGGAGGGGGTCGAATGTTGGAGATGTTGGAGATTTGGAGGGGGTTTGTTGTGTCCGATGTTACGAAGCCGAAGCCGAAGACGAAGAGGGGTCGCACAAGTTCTCGAGGGGGATCAAACGGGCGGCAGAATCGTGTGTATGCCGACCATTGGCGTTGAGCACGACGTGCAAAAAAGAGGAAGAAAAAATCAAGTGGATAAAAGAATGTGCGTGGGTGTATGACGGATTTCCCCTGGATGGTGGTGCGAGGCTGGAGGGGGAGGTTGAGGAGGAATAGGATGACGAGGTCTGGGAAGAAGGCCATAGAATGGCATCAACAGAGTTTACCGGGGTAAGGTACGTCAGGGTCTCTTCGTGTATGACTTCCAAAAGTACAGCTGAAGTACATTTTACTTTGATTGAAATACAGGGCACTCCACAGACAGAGTATGGAGTACCTCGTTTATCTTACCTTCTTCGTACTTTCGTATCCGTGCTTTCGTACTATTTCTACAGGGCGGCGGAAGCAAATGGTGCACGGAGTACGAAAAGCTTCGTACCTGCCGTTCGTCAAACATGGACAGGATAAGTAGCCAATCACGGGCTGGGTGCACACAAGGCAAGGCATCAGATTGTGTGGCACAACCACAGAATTTAAGCCACATGCAGTACTTGACCCCACTCACTAGCCACACATCCAAGTACCTTACTAAGGTACCTTATTACCTAAGGTAGGTACTAGGTCAACGTAAGGAAATTTTCCCAACCTCATTTCTTCCTCCTCTTCCTTTCTTCCTTCATTCCCTCTCCTTCTCACAACACAACACTCAACTCTCCCAAGTGGGAGCCGGGACATTTCTTTTGCTTTGCTCTTTTGCAATTACATTCTCCATTCTCTCCTCTACAATCTCGTTATATTTGCCGTCCCTTCACGATGGCCCAGAACTGGCTGTGCTTCGCCATGCCTTGGACTCTGTCCTCATTGAGATGGGCGACGTTTTCGTTTTCTTTGACGATTTCGTCTCCTCCCCCATGAGCCAAATTAAGACGCGATGGAACAAAAAGAATCTCCTCAAAGAACACGTTCGAGGCGTTGACGAGGCCTGGGCCTTGATTCCTCCATTTACTCAAGTCGTCGCCTTCAAAGGACCTTTCTTTGCTGGCCTCCCAGCCTCGAATCTTTTCAGGCCCTACCACCGAGACTAACCCACTAACTATTATGACGCCCTGACGCCCACTGAGCCGACTCCCCAGGATACATGTACGTCTTTACAATGTAGAGACTCGATATGACTTGTGGTACGTTCTTGCACCCAGTCTACCGGCTGACCACTGCTTCTTTCTCCTTCTCCTCCCTGGCACACATGATGAGACATGCATAACACAGACCTGTTCGGAATCTTCTGTCGAGAAACTTGCTTTATTGTCCTGATCCTGTGCCATTCGGCTTCTTACACTACGCTGCGCAACTTGCACAATGGTGTTGCTAACGAATCCTTTATAGATGCCCCCCGTCTTTGTCTTCTCTTTCAGTGAAGGACGCCATCATGTGCGAAAGACGAGCCAGACTGGCGAGTCTCGACAATCTCTGTCCTCGGAATGCAAAGCCATTGTCAGGAGTCGACAATGATGCTCCACGCCTATGATTTCTTTCAGCCTTTCAGCCCTACGACTCGCCTTGTCCCAGTATCCATCTATAGATCCTCTTTCTCTTGCCCACCCCACAATGATATCCGCTGCTCTCTCTCCTACATCGTGTCCTTGTTTGTCCAAGTGCTTTGTCCATGCCTCCCTGCGACTTGTACATATACAGCCCTCGTCCGACGACAGTGGAAATCATTTCATTCTCTCTTCCGACACATACCAACAATTTATCAACAACACCAACGAGTTTGAACTGCTTTTACTCTGCTTATAACAGACTTCAAACCGTCCACATATTCCAACGACTCCATCCAATCATCGTATCAGCTGTCCGTTGATCGGACACGAACGCGGAGAGACCATGGACCCATACAACGACGCGTTCGATCCCCTATTCACGTACGACCCTACTGACGAGCAGGGCATCAACTTCGACGACCATGTACCAGAGTCACAAGCCCCGATATTTCTCGAAGACTGGAACTTCATGGATGCCAGCAACAACTCCCCGAACGTAGCCCAGAACAACGAGGCCCCACAGTCCAACCAAGAGCAGTACAAAACAAAGACATTCGAGTTTTCCCTTCCTTCTCCTACAAATAGCCTGTTCGATGACGTGTCCCCCAAGGCGACGATCGAGCCGACCGCGGGGACAAAGGTGAGCCCCAAGCTGTCTGCCGCAGACCCATCTGCGCCTAAACAAAAGCCGCAGCTCAGCCTAACGCTGCCGCCTTTATCAACAGCAGTTCCATCTGCATCTAAACAGAAGCCACAGCTCAGTATAACGCTGCCTCCCTTGTCAGCAGTTATTGATCAGGCGCCCCAGTACCAGACTGATGGCCAAGCCGTCGCTGAGACCGAGCCTCAAGTTGGGATGAGCTTCGATGCGGAGTACGACCTGGTCGCACAGGACTTTCTGACCTCTGATACTATCGGCGCGACGAGCGTTGACCCGGCTCACCTCCCTGCGATCCCCATCGATCCGGCCCTCATGGAAATGTACAAGGCCGAGGTGCCGCAGGCACTACAGGTACCGCAGATATCACAGGTATCACGAGTACCACCAGTGCCCGCGACCAAGTCGCGTAACATGATGCAAGGTACAGTCGACTCCAGCCACTACAGCAACAGCAACAGCAACAACAACCACACTGGCATAAGCAGCTTCACCAGTCTTGGTAATGGCTTCGACTTGGGCTGGAATAACAGTTCGGTGCAAGCAAGCTATGACATTGCGCGGTATCCCACGCCCGAGGAGATGCCCCTATCAGCCTGGCCAGCGCCGCCGCAGCCACAGCCACAGCCACTGTCACTGCCACTGCCACTGCCGCAGCAACAGTACGTGCAACCGACAGACAGGGCATACACCCCGCCGGTCTCCCACGCCCCTTCAAGGGTCCCGACACCGCTCCCCAATGCCAGCGCCGTTGAAGCCCCCGCCGCAGCAGTCCCAGAGCGCATCCCCCGCCAGCGCAAGCAATGCCAAACGCTGGACTTCGCCCAATGGTACGAACCACTCCCCGCGGCGCCGGCGGCGTGGGGCGGCAAAGACCCCCTCCGGCCCAAGTTCACGTACACGCGCTCGGGCGAGTGGGCGCCGTCGGTGCGGCTGTCGCGCGACGACGTGCTGGAGTACATGGTGACGCGGAAGCAGACGGGCCAACCGCTACGGATCTGGATCCAGAACATGCCGGCGGGGTGCAACAACCGCAACCCGACCGAGGCGTCGCGGCGGTGCCGGTGGACCGAGTGCCCGGCCAAGAGTGGCACGATCCTCAAGGGCTGGTGGCGCGTGGCGTTCGACGAGCGGCCGGGCACGTCGGGCACGGTGCACGACCCGTTCCACAACGCGGGCTACATGCACCTGTTCTGCTTCGAGTCGTGCTTCGACCTGATCGAGGTGGTCTCGTCCTTCGACGTGCGCCCGGACACGCGCCACCTGGCCAAGGAGGAGCGCAACCCCATGGCGCTGACGCGCGACCACGGCGACCTCCTCCTCGACTGGGAGCGGTGGCGCGCGAGCCAGACGGCGGCGCACGCCGACTGGGCGCGGCGCCAGGCGGAGCGCACCGCCCGGGGTCTCCCCTTGGAACGGCGCCAGCGGCGCGACGAGGACCACCTCTGGTACGAGCTCACGACGGCGCACATGGCGAAAGAGTCGACGGCGCGGCAGGCGGTGCGGGACCGGCGCGGCGGGTTGTCGCTCGACAAGCACAAGGGCGACCTGGCCAAGTACTGCCGCATGAAGGCGGAGGCGTACAGGCGCACGCGGCGCGAGCAGGAAGAGGCGAGGAAACTGCTGGCCCGGCATAAGCAGACTACTGCTGCTGCTGCTCAGGGGCGGCAGCACCAGCGGCAGCAATCGCATTCCACCAGCCCCACTCGTGTGGCCGGGAACAAGCGTTCCCGCGAAAACGACGACGGCGACGACGATGGAGAGTGGACGCCCACCACGTCGTCGAAGCGGCCCAGGGGAGGAGAAGAGGCTTCGCCGACTTCGCCGACGCAGAGGGCTGCCAAGCGGCGTAGGGGCGGGGACTCGACCCCCGTGGACGAGGTGATTGTCATCCCTGACGAGCCCGAGTCGCCTAGGCGGTCCAGGCGATTGGGACAGTTGTTGGTAGGGGGGGTGCCCAAGTATCGACGCTCGGCTTGAACGATTCCTCTCTTTGTTTCCGCTGGGGCGGTAGAACAAAGCTGGCATCGGTGAGGAATGAGAGTTGGCTCGCTATCCTTGTTGGGAATCCAGAGCCAAGTTTTGATTTCTTTGTTTTAAGAGCGTGGCGTTTGGGTAGCGGGACAAGCATAGCGGCATCATCATAACAGCGTCAGCATAGGAGCACGGCGCATCATTATGTTAGAGTGTAGCAGTAGCATGTACATGATATGTATCATCAGCCAGCGTAGCGAGGGCTCGACCAATATCATGAGGATATTTAAAACCATATGACCACCCGTTTCCTTTCTCTCTCTCTCCTTTTCTTTCTCTCTTTTTCCTTTTTTTCTCCCCCCCCCTTCTCCATCTAGCCAAAGGGTAACCCTTTTCGCAAGCAAACGCCCGCTACTCTGATCAACAACCGTTTGTCAACAGAGCCTCGTGACGGACTTTTGCAAGAAGATATTGAATTAAGCCACACACATCGAAAGTCAAGACAGGGCGTCATAGAGACATGGCTGGTAAGTGCTTAAATGCTCACTCAGTGATATCAGCAAGCGGAGACGGAAAGTTCCGTGTCATAAACCAATCCAAGTTGTCCAAGTTGTCCTCTTCTCACCATAGGCTGCCTGACGACGAGGATGGAAAATTTGAACGGCCCAGTGCAGCTGAAGTGCAGCGGCGAGGCCGAAAACTACTAACAAGCCGACAGGCCACGACAACAAGCCCGACTAGGAGAGCCCGCGAGTGTCAGGGCAGTCAGGCCGGGGGGGGGGACAGAACGAAACAGCGAATCCGGATGGCGGTGGTGTTAGGCGACAAACATGGCAGCCCGGAGAGGAGTAATTAATAAAAGGAGAAGAGAAGACGAAGGGCGAGTATAATAAAGCACCTCACAGCTTAATATAAGCTGTACTGCATCCCCCAAGTAGGTACGTATCTGCGTCTCGTCTCGTTCCCTTCTCCAACGGATGGATTAATAATACAAGACGAAGCGAAGACCACGCGAGGATTCCGTTGTACTGAACTGGTACGGCTACAGTAAGGACACGGTGCACACAACTGCCTGTACTCGGTCGACGATGGTTTCTGCGCTGCTCCGAAACCGGACAATACAGTACCTATACTGACAAACCTCACTGACCCGCACGGAGTACTCCGCGCCGCGTTGCCCGGGACGAAGCACGTACTTCCGCACTTTCGTGCCTTTGTACTTTCGTACTCCCGCGACGGACCACCTTTAACCACATGCCCGTCCCTTTCATCTCCAACTTTCTTCCCTCGAAGCCAGCATCAGCATCTGTTTGTCCAACCCGCACTGAACAGCCAAACTGGCCGGGCGAGAGAGACCGGGAAGCAAAGACATCTTTCTTTCATCAACCGGTTGTTTCGACACATTGCTGGTGTCTCTCTCTTCTTTCTTGTTCTTTGTCTCGTTTCTTATCGCTTTCATTTCACTTCCCTCGTCATCGGACCTGGACCACGACCGACTCGTCATATATATTCCGGCGCTGCCACCTTACAAACAGGGACAAGGGGAACAGAAGGGAACCCAACGGGACGGGAACCCCCTTCAACCGACAATAGTCTGTCTAGACGAACTACGAATACGAGTCCTGGCTACGCCGCCGACTGGCCTTTGTGTCACCCACCCTTCCCTTCACCGGCTGGAAGGACATGCCACAGGTCAGCACGCAGATGGAGAAGCAGAAACAGATGCACATACAAGTCGAGTTCTTTACAATCTCCATTTCAAACGAGATGCAGGTTCATCTGATGTAGATGAATGAATTGCATCAAAGCTCCCATCTGGACTCGAGAAAGAATTCCCACGTCATCCAGACACCAGACGGACACAGCTCCCCCGTCTCTATCATCATCTCACAGCATTCCCGACCGTTTTGATCGGTCAGATTCTTGGCGCCAACATCTTCAACGCCAGCGACAGCTTCATCTTATCTGGATCCCTCTCACGGTCTCTACCAATTTCTTTTCTTTTTTTCTTCTTTTTGCTAAGAACATCCTCTCACATCCAAGCCTCGACACGATATCGTTGCTTCAACTCGGATCCAGCAACCTTGTGTGCTCCGTGGTCTGGTACGTGGCGTCATGGTCATGGGTGAATCCCGGAATGGCCATCGTGATGCCGCTGCCGACGCCGAGATGGCCTCCATGCCAACCACCGACAGCGGCGTAGACAGCCGTAACAAGACCGGCTCCGGAACGGATACTTCTACCGCTGCCGCTGCCGCTACCACCACCTCACCACCCCCTCCTGCACCTGCTTTGCAGATCATAATCCTG